CGAAACGAGTACAAGAAAGAATATTTTGTTCATAGTTTCAAGAAAGTATACTTGCATTTATCCGACCTGTGAAAATCAATGACATTAAGTTGTTGGCATAAACCAAACGTATCATGATTTATGGCAGGGTTCCTATCTCATGAAATGTCGACCAAGATTCTGAAACGTGTTTTTGATTCAAACGAATTACTTATTGAAGTGTTCATTAACGCACAGCGCAATGTTTAGATATTTTGGTCACGTCAAGATGCCCACCTTAACGACTTTCTTTCTGACCACCTGAAATATATGTTTTCGTTAGAAGAATGCCAGTTTGTATAGCATGTCTTTTCCTTATGTATTTTCACTGCTGTGATAAATTTAAATATAATTTATAGGAGGTATGGCCAAGAAATATTTTTTTTGTACTTGTTTCCTAGAAAGTTACGCCTTCTTCAAGTTTTGTACTTGAAAAAGGGTATCTTTCGATGAAAAATGTTTTTCATAAATTGGCGAATGATTTTAAATCCTATCGGACGTTACACTTGAATTTAAGGTCTTCAGATTACATGCTGTATATATTCTGTGTAAGAAAAAGTGAATATTTCTCTACGATACGAGGAAGAAGTCACATAGTTTGCATAAAATTTTGTAATGGATTTGGACCAAGTTGCGTAATCTATGAGCAGTATCAATAAACGTTGCTTTACGAATGCGCATTTCACGGTCATAAAAAATCTCATAAGTAGGCACTTGGTTGAAACCGAAAGGTATCCTTTCTTCAAATGTAAATTTTTAAGAAGGCGTAATTTGCTGCGAAACGAGTACAAAAATGAATACTTTCGTTCATATTTTCTATAAAATGTACTTGAATTTATCGGAGCAGGGAAAATCAGTGAGAAAACGCATACTACTTTAGTAGCAGTCTTTTTCAGAATAGGTTTTTATGCAGGTTGTCAGAAAGGAACTCATTCAAAAGCCAGCATCCTAACGTGACTGAAGTATGTTGACATTAGTCTGTACGATAATCAATATTGCGACTGTAATTAATGAGTATGTTAGGATCGAAAACACAATTTTAAAATTTCAGTTGACATTTAATGAGGCAAAACATTTACTGTATGTACTTTCATCCGTTCCATCTGATTTGTTTTCTTCTAACGCCGAATAGGACATGGCTGTCGTTCTAATGGCTACTTCTTTTGTGGTTGCTTTTTGTCTAATTTCTTTTCCTTCGCAACAGGCTCTGTCGGGTCTCCCAAGGAGTCAGCCTTCACAGATCTCAAATTTGAACCTCGGTTGGACCTGGCACTCAATGTCCTCCAGTCCTTTGGCGAACATGTCAATGCACCGAAAGTTCTCCGCGCTCTACCCGAATCCATTAGTCTGCATGATATGGCCAACTTCCTGGAGGTACTGTGACCTTCACGCTACGTCTTGGTCCCCATGAACGGTCCCTGTGGCAATTAATGTCGAGGCGCTTTGTTGCCACTTAGCGTATCATAAGTAAATATCTGCGTTAAGGGTTAGATTCATAGTCTTGGCGTCAAGAATAAGATTAAGGTGGCATGGGACTGAATGTGAACGCATGGTGAACAATTAAATAGGTGAGAAAAAGTTTAACAAGTGGAATTGGGATCGTCAGCTCACAACAGTTTGGCGCGATTACATTTGAAATTCGATGGTGCCGGCTACCACTTTAGCCAGAGCTTATATGTACATTGTTAAGGCGTATGTTACTTCCTCTGTTATACATCGGCGATCGATTGTTTTGTGCAAGGAACGTTGTACAAATAAGCTTTCTGGCATGCGTATCGTTGTTGGCCTGTTCTGATTTAACCTCGGACCTCCTACTGCTAACACCAAACTCAACCTCGGCGCAAGGCCACCTGTAACATTGGAGCGGTACTTATAACCGTGCTCTATTCAGAAAACTCTCGAACCAAAACAGTGTTTTAGTATAACGATTGTTACTCACATCCAAAAAAATTAACTAGCTATCTGACGCCAGCCTGACCCTCTGAATTAAGTCCACTTTTATGTCCATTTCTCTAACGGGCACTCCACCCGCCATGCCTGCAGTCTAAAATGCCATGACTTTATTGCGCTATTAATCTGTCCAGAATGTCTAGGGTTGTAGTATTTTTGAAGCTTGTAGTGCTGGGAGGGGCTGTTCGCTGCCAAATAGCAAGAACCTTAACATACTCGGCAACAATAATAATTCTCGATATAACTAATCACTGTCATCATAATCAATGCGACAATAATCGTAATGACTCTCTTTGATGACGGTTCATTGATTGCTACGGCACTCACTTGTCCCGTTCTACTTTGGGTCTCATTCGTGGGTCCTGAAAACAGCCGCACAGTGGCTAATAGCCCGGGGTACCCATTTCCGTATCCTAAATTTCATCTAAACCCCAACGCTAGTCCTCTTAAGCCTCAGCCTCCTAAACCTAACCCTTCTGCTACAACCAACTTCAAACTCCGTGCAAGGCCACCTGTAACATGGGGGCGGTACTTATAACCGTGCCGTGCCTAGGAAACTCTTGAAACAAAGCATTTTTTTGTATTACGATTGTTACTCCCAACCAAAGTATTTAACCGGCTACCTGACGCAAGCCTGACCCTCCGAATTAACTCCGCTCTTAAGTTAATCTCTCTAACCGACCGACCACCCAGCATGATTGCAGTCTAAAGTGCCACGGCTTTATTGCGTTATTAGTCTGTCCAGAATGTCTAGGGTTGTCAAGCTATGGATAGTATTTTTGAAGCTTGTAGTGCTAGGGGGGGCTATTTGCCGCATGTTAGGGGGCCGAACAAGTCACCCAGACGTCCGACAGTACGAGGCCACGTGAGGCCAGTCCGGCGCATACACAACGAGCCATGTCCCG